CAATTTAAATCAATTGTAGTCAATTTTGTTAGCAATTCAAATTAGTTTAATTTTTTCTTAAATTTTATTTATATAACTGATTATAACAGATTTTATAACAGATTACAATTTAATAAAAAACATTAAAAATAATACTTTTAGGATAAATTAATAATAAAACTCTTCTTATGTGTGATACTATGTGTTATGTCCTGATTATAATATATTATTGTTTTTAATAGCTTACAATAGATTATAGCTTAATGCAAAATATTTAAAAGTTAAATAATATAAGCAAAAATTAATACGCTTTGCTGATCAAAATAAAAATGTCCTTTTCACGGTTCAATACATTAGTCTAAAGTGAATAGGTAAACGGAAATTTATGCTAAAAGGATGCAGGCCATGAAATGTGTTGCGTTCAAAAGGACTTCAAAATATGCAAATGTTTGCAAATATTACGCCTACATAAATTTGCGATTATACAAATATAAATATATGAATGGTCAAAATGATACCATATCAGAAAGATAAAAGGTATAATTTTATTTTATTTATAAAATTTAAATTTCGATTTTTAGTGTTTTATTTAATAAAGATGAAAGAAATGTTTGTTTTACACAAAAATATTAATTTCAAAGAGTTTAAAATAGACCCCGGGCTAAAAATAAAAATTGAAAGAACATTTACTTTCACTAAATATTAATATATTTTATCGCTATTTATTTTTATATCCCTATTTATTTTTATATCCAGAGTTATCCATTTTATATTTCCAAAACTAAACGAAAAAAAAAATGCTTGATTAAAATTTGCATTTTAATATATCGTTTGGAGTTTGTATTAAATGTGAAATACCATACCATTCTAATGTTTTCAATATGACATCATACGATATTTTGACATTATTCTCGATGACCTGTCAGCAGTAGCGAGGCGTCAGCTTTTTGGCAAGGTGTTCACAATTTAATCAAAACAGAATTCCAACTATAACGTATTCCCCCTACTTCTAAGTTTTGTCCTTTCCACAAGCAAATAGCGTACAAGACCAATAAAACAATTTATTTAAATGTTCGCAGCCTGTGATCCACTGGTTTTTATTTACCATAAAGCTATAGCTGTAGGAAAACGACGACTTACCATAGATTTCGACATTTTTACAACAGGTATCAAATTCTTCATATCTGGAGTTGGTTTATTCATTTTATGAATTAAAATCTTTTTTTCAGAAGATCGTTTAAAAAAAGATATTTGAATCAAATCTTTAATCACACATTAATTCATTTCTAAATATTAATTTTCACTTCAAATTTCTTTAATTTTTTTCTTTACTTTTACCATTTGCTAGTATTAAATTGCAATAATGACTTTGTTATTGATTTATTTCCAACCTCTATATAAGAGTAAGAAACTCTCATGCATTCATTTACTCTTTTACTTTGTATTTACAATGCCCGGTTCAGTTTTTATACTGAACCATTTCCCCATATAAAACAGCAACCGTGACTTTGATTGTATTTGCACGCTTTGTATAAACTTTTGGTTCAGTTTAGTGGAATGATCCTCTCGTCAAATGTAAAGCGATTTTCGCTCAGTTATTTCTTTTCTCTTTTGTATTTACTTTGCATAACATTGGAAGTGCACTTTTTTTATTGAACTGCTTGCACGCATTAATTTAAGAGTTAAGATTATTTTACGTACATATATTTGTTTGTATGTTTTGTGTTGTGTATTCAATATTGAACATAGTCCCAATGTGAATGTTATTTCATTTGCATGCTTTGTAAGCAACGCGGTGCAGTTTTTATTCTGCACCTTAGTATATTTCAAGAGGAATGTTTTTTCTCTTTTATTAATTATAAGCAATGTTGGGTGTAACTAACATATGTATGTGTGGTTTTGTTTGTATTATACGTTTTGTGTTTATGTTAATCTGTTTGGAAAAGCTATTATAAAAAATGTTAAGTAGCAATATAGCGAGATTATTTACCTAATAAAAAAAAATCTAAAAAGGAAGCTTTGTTAAGGTGTTCAGTGAACACTCTGAACCATTCGACGCCTCGCCTCTGCCTGTCAGCATATATCTTGTAATAGCTTAACTTTAATTTAATGCAATTTTTTTTCAATTTCTTAATGATTGAATAGAATAGAATTGAAATAAACAGAGTACCGGCTCCTAATGGAGTAAATCACCGCGACTATAGTTAATCTTTTATGCTGCTACAGACCCTACCCGAACAGAAGGCATTCCGCCTTTCGAATGGAAGCCAAATTGCCAGCCGTTGAGGACCTCATAATGTCAGAAGGGAAATGATCTCCTTCTGGCGTAGATCAAGGCTGAACAGTCACAGAGAATATGATTATAAGTCTCGTCTGCTTCTAAGCAGAGTCGACAATCTATCATTTCGGATAGGCTCATTTTGTTAAGGTGACAACGCAGTCCATGGTGGCTCGTTGTTATCCTACATGATAACAAATACACAGATGTATCGCTGCAAATGGAGCACAGGGTGGTATAGTTTGACGGATATTCGTTTCCAAAACGTCAAGAGTTTGAGTATTATCCACTTAATTCATATCAGTAAAATTGTCAGTTTCAATTTCACGCCATAAAAAATTGGTAATCATTGTGATTACCGCATTCAGAGTCTGTGCAATAACTTCCAGACGAAATAGTATATCATACATTCATTTTTTTTGGATTTTACTGGTACAGATGTGACAATTTTTTTTATAGACATATCCGTCAAGCGATAAATGAAGCTCATCTAGTGTTAGTGTCAATTATCCAACAAAAATATGCTCTATGTATTTTATTCTGAGCTTGCATTAGTTAATGTTTTAGCTGACTTTCATAAGGACAGGAACCCGAAATCAAATACAAAGTACGCTATAGTGTGCTGTAAATTACTCCTCAAATGCTATGCGCAGCATAGTGAAATTGATTTTTTTTTGACAATTTCTCCAACAAATGTAATTATCAACGTTTAGATAATATCCAGATCTATTATGTATCCAGTTTCCTCAAATTTTTTCACTGTTTTTCCTTTAGTGCGCTTAAATGAATGATAAATTCGTCCGTTATTTCATAATACACGAAATGCAGAATACTTACTGCCTGTCGAATCACAAGTTGTGTGGTCAATTTGGAAGATGTTCGATGGTTGCTAAAAGTTTCTTATTGAATATGGAAAACCGTAAACCAAACATGGGATGCATTGAGTGTTAGTTCTGTTTGTCATATACCACGAAACAGTGCTGCGAATTCAGAACCACGTAATGAGTAACCCTTGCTATATGATTATATATTATTTGATTTGCTCAAAAAAAATGTTAAAAAATCTTTCCACGCTGGAGAACCCTATATTTACCACCACTGATTAATTACTTTAATGCAAAAAATGTGATTTTTTTATGTTTGTAGCTATTGTATATATTTATTTATTTTTCCAAAACTATATAAAAATGTGTTTATTTACTTAAAATTTTGTTTTTGCATCAAGACAGTTTTTTTTTTGAATAAACAAAGAACTTTTAATGTAATCAATTACTCCATCATAAATTTATGCCACATCCGGTAGTGAAGATTTTCCAAAAGCAATGTAAATAGACTAACTGCAAATCCGAATAACAACACCAAAAGAGCGGAGGTAAATGTTTGCATATCCACCTTTATTAATAAAAAAAAAATTAATCACAATTAAATGTTTGATTGTTCTATTTTAATATTTAAAAAAAAATGTAAATATAAATTCAAATAATATGCAACAATTTTAACTTTTTCTAAGAACTCAATGTTTCACGTTAAATCAATTTGTATCCTTAAAAGCATTTTAAAAACGTGAAATGCTAAATTTTTTACAAATGTTTTAACCCTTTAAAACATTTAAGGTAAAAAAGGCCTATTCCCGTATGATGGAAATATCAATGATTTAGTCGATGCCTATATGGCAATCCCTATTGTTAAGAAAAAATGCTTTTAACTCGTCCTATAGTTGATAGCAGTGATGTGTTGCTAAATAGAGGAGCCTGGCAACGAATTTAATTGGATTTTTTCAAATTTTAAAATCAAAAGGAAACCCTTCTTTCCAATTAAGGTGTGCTAATAACACTAACAGTTGATATCACATATTTCAACGTTATTCTCAAGGATTTAAATCTTAAGCGTTAGAAAAGCAGTACCGAGCTTAGAAATATATTTGATACATTTTTAAAATTTTACTATAGTCAATATTCCTACTGAAGTTGGAGTTTAGTGCCAACTATAAAAAACAGATATTATTACTTACTCGCAAATCATCCGT